TATTAGGTGAACAAAGCAAACAAAAAGAACTTTCCTTCAGAAATGACTTCATAGTCAATCTGATTTGTATATTTTTTCAAATAAATGTATTTATGGCGTAAAACATAGTTATACGATAAATAGTTCGTGTAAAATAGTTTTTCTATCCAACTAAATTAAAAGTCACAACTAAAATTTTATCATGGGTGCATATACGTTAATTCTCATTTGTGTGTTGAAGAAAGAAATAAACATTCCAAATAATATATAAAAGTTGACATACAATTTAAAGCATCTGATTACACAAACATTAATAAATGCACAGTACTTTTCTGACAATCCAAAACGTAGTCTACATTAAAAGGAGAATAAAAAATGCTTAACTTACTCTTATGCTTTTCTTCCATATAATGAAACCAAAGATTCGGTGATTTTGCGATTATCATTCAAACATATCTATTTCAAAAACCCACATCAGAGGTCACACTTCTTTAAAGCCAGCTAATCTTCAATTCAAAAAATATGAAACAGAAAATTTTATGAGGCTGGTAAATATGTAAATTTCTGTTCATTGTAAAATAAAACATATATCATATCAAATAATTTGAATTTTCATGAATTGCGAGGTCGGTTATTATGTACAGCCTTTTGCCTCTAACGTCGGCATTTTTGAGTATTGTTTTATACATGTATGAGGCGCTTTTTGTCAACCAAATTGGATATTTTTTCATGTACGTGTTCTATACGTGTAATAATTCCAAAATGACGTGTCTCATTAATTATTTAATTATTTCCTTATGTATTTTATAATTAGAATTACATGAGATTTTCACAGAGATTAGGTATGTAAGTGATAAAGTGTTTTATAAAACATGTTTATACATTTATTTTATATTCATTAGCCAAAAAGTCTTATATGCACAACATCTGTTCAAACGGACTCGTATGTCAATTAACATAATACATGAACATATTAACGAAATATTTGGAGATAATGAACAGTATCCAAGCTTAAAAGTCCATCAAACAATGCACATTTGTAGCAGAGCAATCATGGACCTCAGAAATTACAAATATGTTTTCTTTTTTTTCTTTGCCTAATATTATAGGCAATGTATGTCAAACTTGGTTTACCGTGGTAAAAAATCAAATGCTATTCAAGGACAGATGATATAAACAAAAAATGGATGCCTTGATTGGTATATATTTTTTGATCTAATTTTATTACAAATGATGCAAATAATAAATTTGTAGAATATAAAGAAATTGCAAACCTTCTGTGATGTTCAAAACTCTACCCTTCTGAAACCATCCTTATTATTCTATACAAAATTTTTCACTTCAAATTCCATTTTTGTGCAAATTTGAATAAACAATTAAACCCTAGGTGAAACTTATTCATTTTATTCATTAAAACATGACTCAAATTGTTATTTTCAAATTTTTTGACAAAAGTTTGTTTGTATCATCTGCCCTTAAACATTTAAATAGATCAATCTTTGTTAAAAAAAAATTGAAATTCCAACATATAAGCAATATATTCGTATATCAACAGTTTCTATACCGATTATAGTTTATAGAAAATGAACTCATCCTCTTCTACAAAATAAAAAAGTCAAAGGTTTGAGAGAAATTTTAAAGGCTTTTTAACATTCTGTTGCATTTATTAATAAACTTAATAAATAAATGTGTCAATATATCTAAGACAATTTTTTTTCTCGATTTAGTCTCCTATTTATTTTTCTCATTGACATTTTATTTTTGTTTATGTATGCTAGATATTTAACGTTACTGAGGAAAACTATTTTTATAATATGTTAATTAATGTATCTAAGAGTGACCCCATTCATCTTTATGTCTTACAGATGATAAAGAAACGATGGAAGCGTGTGCTCCTTACATTAGGGCTAATTATCGCCACTGCACACCTGTATTTAACACTATTTGCAGGTGAGAAGTCAACAATATACAAGGAAGCCTTAGCACTGTCACGAGATAAACTCGAAATATGTTACTGGCAATTTATCCTGGTCACCAATGAAACCCAGGGAAGATAAATTATATTCAATGACATTGAAAAAGCCAGATTATGCAAATTTGTTTATATATATTCATGTTGTCCCACTTTTAGTGATATTCAACTGTATCACATAAAAAAATGCTGGGGTAAAATATCTAGATAAGGGGTATTAATAATTAAAATATAAATTATGTTTTCAGTGCAGGAGAGGTCATATATACGGGAGGGTCGACATCTAGATTCCTACGTCATACAAGGAACAACGGCTGGGCAGACGTTCAACTTGAACAAGGTCACACCAAAAGTCACAAGAGTTGTTGCAATGGACAATGACAAAAACATTTTTTACAAATTAAACCAAAAACAATTAACAACAAGAAATCCAAATATTACAACAACCCTAGTCGATGTCTCTTCAAACACGTCTAGCACACAACACACGACACAGATTGTAAATATGGTCCCTGAGATCAGTTACAATGTTACTCACATACTAATTGTAGCCTATATTAGGAGTGGTTCGTCTTTGACGGGCGATATTCTTCAGCAGGACCCAGATTCTTTTTATGTGTATGAACCTCTACACTTTACAGAAAAGATGGGAAAGAAGCTTCAGTCCGTGCAACTTTTAAATGGCAAATATGTGTGAGTTGTGTTCAGATACCATTTTTATTACGTTTATATGTCTAGTGTATTGCACAAAAATCCTTCCCTAACAAATACTTCTACTTGTAATGATTTACGATTGTGAGATTTAGTATTTAAATAATATTAAAATAGAGAACATACTTTTATAAAATAAAACAAGGAACTTTCATTTACAACGAAAATGTATATTTTTTGAAGATGTCTAAATTATCTTATTCAGATTAATAAATGTCAATTAAGAACTTTACTGACATCCGTATATACAATTAATCTTTTTTTTTTTTTTAAAAATTCCATTGAGATTGATGAGTTATGAAGACCTGAATTTCAAAGTAAAAATTTCACTGAGATACTTTATGCAGATACTTTGATTTTTATGATAAAAAATTTCGAAGATGTTCATTTACTCTTACAGGACTTTTGTTAGCATACTTTTATATCGCATTACTTGTACATATATGTCTCTTAGATTTGTATTAACAAACCGTAAGGCTCCAAACCTATTTCGTGATGGCAAGAAAATATGTTTTGGTTCTCTCAAAGTAGAGTTTATTTTTAGTTCAATTTTGATATTCTCTTTCACACAACTTGCAGTTGCAACTTAATTGACATAAAATTCCTCTTCTTATGAAGTATAATTAAGTTACTATGCTTCTGTTTACTATGTCTTCCAATATTTAGTGATGCAGTGATACATTTTGTTTTATTTTTGCAGAAATATTGAAAGGAAACTATTCTTCAATCGAGCATTTACAATCATCAACTCATACTTCGACTGTAATTTCTCTAATCTTGACTTTGGAACATTAGTTCACGGATTTCAGACATTTGGAAATAAAACCAATAAATTTATTAAGTGCTATGTGAAGAAATTAGGACAAAAGATAAATAAAAAACTAGCAACACAAATGTGTGCGGTAGAACTAGAAAAAATGTGCCAAAATTCTAGATTTCGAACTATTAAAACAATAAGGATACCTATGCAGTATGCTGAGGTCTACCTGAAGAGGTACCCCAGTCTTAAAGTCATTCATCTTGTCCGAGACCCCAGGGCTCAGGTGAATTCTATAGGTAAGCCAAATAAATATATTTACATTTTATAAATTGTAATAGTATTTTAAGTTCTTCCTTTTGTTTCTTGTTTAATAAACTCTGGTTTCAAATACTAGACCAGGTAAAAGGTCATGATTGCATGCTTATTTTACAGAAAGCAAATTTGGTCATACATGTGATGTTTCTTGAAAAAAATGAATTAAAAGAAAAATAAGTAAAGAATGTAAAACGTCATAATAGCTTATTTTACAGAAAGCGAATTTGGTCTTTTTTTTTTCTTTTTCTTTTCTTTTTTTTTTTTGAAAAATATCGAAATGATACATAAATTTTCTTTTTTCTGGTATTCATTTTCTCAAATATGTTTTAGCGAGAACCTGATGTATCATATGTACATTCGTAACTTGTTATTGATTGATTAAAGTACAAATTACTTCAAATGCAAATTTATCTTTAGATAAGAGTCAATATGGAAATATTTCTACGAAGTAATTCATCTTTTTAACAAACTGCCATTTGTTTTTGAAGTTCTCTTTAAATAATTGAAAACAATTTACATTAATCACGTTTTCGCTATTTTTGCACAAGTGCGCCAGAGGTCAGTCGACATAGGACTTACCTGTTTTCGATGACAAACTAACATGAAACATAGATTTTTTTTGGGACCTGGAAAAAAGCTTGTCGGGAAATTTGACAGATCTACGTGGTTTTTCTTAAATGACATGGGTCTCGTAATGAATTAATTAGTATGTTTATCTGATGTCGACAACAAAATTGTCCTGATCTTAAATTTCATAACATTTCCGTTAGGCTTTTGAACTTTTGATATTCTTACGGTTTCAAATGTTTGATCATTAATTATTAAATATTTGTCTGAGTAGAGATTTAAAGACTTGATAATTTTTTCACATCATTTGGTAAATGTTGTTCAAAACATGATTAATTCTGCTTTATTTTTACAATGAAAATGGTATTATAAGTTTAAATTTAGAATAACTTGAAAAATTATCAGAAGGTAAGGTACCTTGCGTATGTCCTTAAGAGAAGATTAAATTATTTCTACAGTCTGTGATTCTTTTTCCCCGATATAACGTGTGAATCTGGTACAAAACACATGATTTATATCTAGAAATTCAGAGAACATTTGGTATTTTTGGAATAATGTGCTTTTAATGTGCATGGAAAAATGACTTTGAAATCTTTCCAAAAATCCAAAAAAGCATAGATTAATTGTTTACGAATCTAACAGAGATTTAATATACAGTAAACTGCATTTTATGCATTAAGATGGCTTTTATTTTCTTTTTCAGTTTCATTGGCAAATACCACGAGATACAATGTAGGTTTCGCAAAACAAAAGTGCAGAGCGATGGAGAGAGACCACTATTTTTCAGAGGTGTACCGCACCAAGTATCCGGGACGTATAAAGCGTCTTTATTACGAGGACCTAGCGTCTAGTCCCATAAAAACTTCTGAATCGCTTTATGAATTCACGGGCATGAACTTTACCTCCGTGGTCCGGGACTATATCACTGGTATCACCAGCGCAGGGCTGAGCAGTTGTGCCATTTGTAGCAAACGGGCGAACTCTTCTGAACATGTGGAAAAATGGCGCCTAAAACTAGCATTCAAGGATGTGCAGCTCATTGATAAAGAGTGTTTGAGTGTTTATAAACATTATGGATTTCTACCTGTTCAAACAGAGAAGGATTTAAGTGACCTTTCTATACCTCTTAGGAAATCAATTGATAAAATATTGTAATAAAATGTTTTACCATATAATATACTTCTGTTATGTTAGAAAAATACCTTTGAGTTTTGTTTAATAATTCACATTGAATTATTATTGTCATTTATGTTAGTTCGTTATCATTGCTGTGTTTCATTAAAATTATTATAGATAATTTGTATGAGAGGTGTCACTGATTTCCTGTTGCCAAACAATAATATAAATTTAAAGGACTAAGAACTAATTATTCATCCTGATCAAACTCCAATGTTTCTGAATAAAAGACATTCGTTGATATTTTGGAAGATGTGTCACGTTGTTATTATTTAGCTAATAGACATGAATAACATAGGATTCAAATGTTTCACTTAATTATCTCTTGGAAACAATTTTACAACCAACATGCAATCATGTTTCAAAACTGGAGTGCGTAGAAGTTGCTTAAACATACCAGATTTCCTATCATAACGTTATATATTTAAAAAGTTAAAGATGGGAATTAATTTAAAACACCAAAATAATGATCAATGACATGAACAATTAACAATTTTCAAATTATAGGGGCCACCCTGCCCCGTCATCATCAAAAAAGAAAAAGGTTTTAAAAAATCATAAAAACACAATAGATACCAACATTAAATTCAAGATTTAAAGAAAAAGAATTAGTAGCTTTGTTGAAGTGCTAGATGTATTTGTTTTCATCTCTTTCTTGTTTGTTTTGATGATCAAATTTGAAAACTATTAATTATATCTAAAACTAATCTTGACACATATTTTTGAGCTTTTGGTTGATTAACTTAATATAGAAAGGTAATTGTTGATCCTATTTTATCTTGTTTATGATTAAAAGGTAAAAATAAAAGGGCAAGTGCGTCTGTAATAACTAAAAAAACATACAATTTAATCTTTTAAATGCGAGGACAATAAACTTTGCTTATGTCGAGATGAAATATTGCGTTAAAACTATTGTACATTAATTTTATTTTTCTCCGTTTCATTTTTTTATGTTCCTTATCATAAATCCAATATTGTACTAAACAGAAAAAATGAGATTGTTACTTAAGATCTGACAATAGATTAATACAGCTTCAAACATGTACATATAAAAGTTCTACATTTGTTTTTAATGAAATTTCACATGATCACTTAAAAGGTTGTTAATTGGTGGTGTTTAGAAGTGATGTAGGGCTGGGGTGTATTTTCATGTATCAAATAAGAAAAAAACAAACAAACAAAATACTGAACCAACCACTAACAATGTTGTTATTGTCTCTTTAAGTTATAGATAAATCTTCATGACAGATAAAATATAACTTTTACGCCCCAAAGAATACTTTTACTTCTCAATTACCAGTATTTGTTAGCCCAAGATAGAAAAGTTTTGGCATGTCTAAACAGAAAACATAATTGGAGAAAAATAAATTTTCATTGAAATTTTAAAAACCTTTCTTTCTCTATTGAAAAACGGTCACTTGGATTTTTGGTTTATTGGCGCTCTATCCACAGATTTTTGAAAGAATGTCAGATAGCTCAAAATAAGCAAAATTTTCGATTGTAAATGATAAAGAAAAATCAAACAATCCAAACAGAGACGGACCTCTGAAAACAGAGACGGGATCAGTTGCCATTGAGCAGTAAGCATCATCTATATTAACTATCGATTGGTTTCACATTGCGTTATCCTTGTCATGACCGGGAAAACAAAAAATTCGGCAGACAATTCAGTGTGAAAATAATGACCCGAGCAATGCATATTTTTTTTTTAAAGTCACCATTTAATTTAACGATAAAATGTATTTGGGGGTAAGTTCATTATATTGACAAAGAATTTGCAAAATTCTGAAATAAGATTAGATTTGTTATATCTCTGTTGCATCAGCTTTTTTGTTATTATATAGAATTGAGTGTAAAGATAAAACAACATCATCAACAAAGAGAACGAGTTTGCCTTATGTAGGTCTTAAGTGGTTATGAACTATCATGAAACGAGGAAAAGGGGTCAATAAGATATATCATAATGCAAAAAAAAAATTGGCAAATTTACGCGATGAGGACAAAAATGCATATTTTTAAATACGTTTTTAAGATATTAATATTTTTAAAGATAATACGAGGGCTGTTCAATAACTAATGTTCTCGGTGCTCGGAAAGAAACAAAATACGCTTTTCAATGATTTAGTCTTAATGGTTTTACTTAACCTTTGATTAAAACACATGTCCGTAACATTTTTTATCCAATTTCTGATTTTTTTAGAACTCATTTTTGGGCATGACCCTTAGTATACTGGAAAATGGCAGATCCAATGATTTCCTGGACTTGTTTCTTCCTTCTGAAAGGTGTTTTTTCAAGTTTAGAAATAGAAACAAGTCAAAATGTCAAAGATCTGGCGAATATTGTTAATGTAAAAAAAATTAACTTTCTGTTTATCCCGAAAAACCCCTTTACTCTACGGGGCGTACGGGTTTGGATGCTGTCATGAAGAAATTTAATGTGTGGTGGATTCCTGATTCTAGGTCCTTCCTGTAATAAACCTTTCGATTTTTTGGCAAAAAAATTGCTTTCTAGACTCCTCCAGATATTAAACTGCCTAACCGAATACGAATTTGAACAACAATACCACTAATATTTAAGAAAATTACATATAAATCTGTCTTTGTGCTCTTGCATATTTTTGCTCTTGTCAGACCTTCGCTGTTTTTATCAAGTACATCTTGTGGTAAATTTTGTTTTGAGGGTTTTAAGCAATAGATTCATTTTTCATTATCTGTTTGAATATCAAACAAACGTGGATAACTACAATTACTGATATTTTATAATAATTGTTAAGACATTCGTACACGCTGTCGTTTTCACTCATTTTTCAAAATATAGGGTGACCTTTGAGTACCAAGCTTTTTTTTACCGTCAAACATTTCTTACAAAACAGTGTAAACTACTCCCGATATGATATCTATCAAATTTGCTATGTGTCTTAAAGTCAATCCTACATCATCAAATATTATTTGTTGAAATTTGGCAAACAGTACATAAGTTGTTATAATTTTTTGTTGGCAAGGACGGTACCCATTTTTGATGCCCATAATATAATTTTTTATCATTGAAATCCACCTGCTCATTTGTCTATAAAACAGGCATTGGTTGTTGTAAATGTCACATATTTCAGTGAATATTTCTTTGGGATTTTTAACAAGTTTTACAGCAGCTTTAATGATGCTTTTATTTTCACTCTAGTTTACTGATTCTTTACCACTCATATATAATGCAGTGTCTCGAATAGCCCTTGTTTCCCAGCTTCTCACGATGAAACTATGTGATGAAAAGTGGTCACATAAACTGTTATAAATTCATTAAAGATTCAATAATGAGAGAAATTCAAGTTTCATGTCATATGATATCTGCATTGTATGTCATACAGTTCAGGACATTATTTATTGAACAGCCCTCGTATATTATGTCAAGTAAATGGTACAATTTCTTAGGCTTGGAGGTAACCCAATATATGGAAAACATAATTTATCCAATACGGCTGTTTGGCCAGTTACTCATCAAGGTATGTGTAGAAATAATATTCCAAACGAGATGTTTTCCATAATTAGTTTTATACAAAAGAAGCAACGAAGGTATTATTGGCTAACATGGTTTTACATTTTTCTGTCTTATTCTTATAAAAATTCTCAAACTTCTGAATGACACCACTACATCCATACACATAAACAATAAAACTGCACGAGCCGTATATATGTGTATTTTATAGTGTTGTAATTTCTTGACGAAATCGTTAAAAATAACGCGGGTTTAATAGTGATTTGAAAATATTTTATCGTATAAATAGTATACCAATGGATTGAATACTTTAATTCTTTAATTTTCGAGGAATATAAAAAAAAATCTTTGATAATACAAACAGATTTATTCTTATATATTTTTAAACATACAATCAAGAATGTTTAATATATAACTTAGTAAATGTCTAATTTATCTGTCTAGATATCAAAATTGTATCGTTTATAAATCTTCTAAAATTGTTTACTTCCACTCATGTGACACATTCTCAAAAGTCACAGTGCGCAAACCTACACCCAGCTACAACATTTACTGTGCATAAAAGGAGAATGCAGTGTGCAAGGTCCATAATATCAAGTATGTCAGCCATTTTATATATTTTTCACACTGATTATAGAGTACTTGAAAACAAATATAATGTGAGTTATGAAACGGTTTCAAACATTAAAGTTAAGATCTTCCAACTCTCTTTCTCTTGATTTCCCCTTCACAAATCAAAACTAAAAACCTTGAAAAGGAGTGCAAAACCAAACAGCTGAAAGATGCACAGATATCTATGATTTTATTGATTTTGGACAGAGATATAAACAAATACAGAAGAATAAGAATCTGTTTGTTCATAACATAATGGAATAAAAAATCATTTTCAACTCAAGTTCAACGATGAAAATTAAGGTGGTTGTCATATTTTACCTAGTATGTAAGAAAGAGTCGAAAATCTCCTAACAAGTAACCAACTACTGTAAAGTGGTCATTGAGAAAATACAATCAAGGATCGTGACTAAGAACTATGAAACATAACTCTAATAAAATCAAAGAGCAGAAAAACATCCCAAGTGAAAAATTAATGCCGTTTTCCTTAAAAATAAATCTGATATACAATTTTTATTAATAATAAAAAAAATACACAGATTATAATTTCCTGTATTTGGTGATAAAGAGATGTCTTCCTTAACACAAACGATAGGAACTAGTATATTTAGAATTATCAGTCAAGGCAAAACATGTTGGACAATTTATCAGGTCATTGCCAGTTGAAGCAGATGATTACCGAATAGACCACAATTTCTGTCATTGATAGAAAAAAGAATTTGACTTTATAATGTAAGTATTTTGTTTTGATTTTTCGATCAATTATTAAAAATAGTCAATTCCTATGACCTTACATCAAACTTTTTGATACTGAACCACTATGCAAAATGTAAAACAATCTTTCCTTGCCTCAGGTCGTAAGTTTTTCTGAAAAAATGGGGCCATTTTGGAAAAATACATTCCTGACTTTTTCCTTCTTGGTAAGTATAGCTGAACAAACTTTTAACAACTTAATACTGTACGTCTATTATTGAATTTATTTCTTCATATAAGGTCAGTACATTTACATGTATATCACGATAGTAACTTAATTCTAGTTTTATCAGATAAAATATGTAAAGGATGTTCAATGGTGTTTAGGTAGATATAATATTTAATTTCATGACTGGAAGAAATTTTCCTACTGCACATATCATCACTAGTGAATTACAAAAAATTACAAAAAAGAAACCAGTCTTATAAGAGGATTAAATTCCATATCATAGAAGAATTCTCTCTTTAACATTTCCCTGGTTGTTCCTAGCAATTTTTTTTTCAAATCAAATAAAATAAAATTTTATATACAATGAAGACATAATATATGCCTGTTACAATATCAATATCTTTAAAGGGCTAATAAAATTACACACACGTATTTCACAGATAAAAATGTTACAAATACAAAAGGAGCATTGACATGAAACTTGTATTGTTTAATCAAATGTTATCATTGAGAAAATAAAATTTCGTTACATTTCTTTTTTATTTCAGACAAATTTTCTCAGTTCTTCATATGTTGACAGTAGGTATTTAATCAATTTGAGTTATTTGAAGTAGAAATGATAAGTACAGTGCATGTACAGGGTCTATATCAATACAGAACATTTGTTTGAGAATCACGTACGTGTCTACCGATAAAGAAGGTCTTTGTGATCTAAATTTTGATATACACAGTATAACATAATATAAACATACAAGTACATAACAATAATTTCCCTTTTAGTGTTTGACATTAACCGTTTTGTTTCAAAGTTAAACACTTCCCTGGAGAGAAAGAAGCAAGAGAAGTCGATCTTTGTCATGAGTGCACGTCTTGCATATGTTTTCCACGTCACACATTAGGTATAACTTTTTCATCCTAATCTATTCTATTCATAACTGGGATGTACTGAACAACAGTTAACTGAAAATATTCACTTATTCATATGTATGTATGATTTTCAGCCGATGCATAATTCTGTAATACTAGTAGTAACATTTATGCACACGAAAAAAAATACTGATAGTCCTAATTACTAACATGTAACTGAATTTCAAGAAAAATATACAACACTATATATAAGTGCTTAAAATATACATGCACCTTAATTAATGATGTTTTAAAGTCACAAAAAAGTTGAAAAGAATCTTATAATACTCCAGATTCAGAATTCTTTCTTTTTTACTTTAGATTTTTCCTGTGACGTCCTGGAAAATTATGGATCTGATTTTTGCCAAAATTTTATTTGTAAACACAACATAACTTGTCCAACAGGTATTTCTACCTCTTAATATTTTTACACTTTTTTGGAAATATAATAATAAAATTATATATATTTTACTCACAACATTCATGGTAAAAGAGAAAGGAATACTTATCATTCTGAAGTATGTAAATGAGATATTTAAAAGTAGGATATCGGGATTTAACTTATCATATGTCTAAGAAGGATGTTCAGCTTTCGCTTATAATAAAGCGATTACCTGAATATATATTTATTCTGATGTAAGGAATTTTGTTTCATAAATGCATTGACTCTAAACATCTGTCATTAACAGTGCCTCCAGTACGTCAGCAGCGGCCATGATAAGGTTTTCCCATGCTGCTCAAATTTAGCAATCTATATTAAATTTATACGCTGTTATTAGAGTGTAATGTTATAAGATGTTGCTTTTCTTTTTATATGAGAGGTACAGTTTTATATATAGAAATTAAAATTCTAACCTAAAGTTCTCTTTAATTTTAGCACGAAGGTTAGAAAGAAGAGGAGCATATATGTATATGCTATAAAAACATTTAAGTCTCTGCCTTGAGACTACTAGTATTTATAAAGTCTTATCTATTTTTACAATATTTGTTTACATAACTGTACTGCAGTTTCTACTACGATTCAAACAACAACTACTCCCCCTCTTCCGGTCACGTGTAATAAAACTTCTATCATCACAGCAGTAGCTCTAAATCAGCCAGTAGGAGACCCCTCGACTAGCGCATGCCCAGATACCACTTTCCAGTCTCCAGAATCTTTACTTACTAATTATTGTGGAATTCCACTCGTATCCAATTGGAAACAGGGTCAAAAGGTTAGTTTAGGGTTTCTATGCTATGAGGAAGATTGAAACAAGCAAAATAGGGGGCAAATATGAGTGCAATGGTTGCAATCTCTTTCTTAATAAAAATATAAGGATAATATGTACATATATGAATATTTGTTTTACTTTTTTCAATTGAAACACATTCATGTACAACTACTCTGGTTTAAATTTAAAGGGACTTAGGTTTTGTTTTTCGAAACAATAACAATTTTTGAGGAGAAAAAAAAACCAATATATATCTCTTCAAAATGTGTATCATCGTCCGCTCTAAAGATTTTAAGAAATGTCGTAGTGAATTTCAAAATTCACAATATTCTTTGCATGTAGTTAATAAAGACTATTTTCATGTTGAATTCAGAATGAAATATTGTTTCAATGGAAGACTACCATTAGATAAAAAATATGACAATTACCCTGTCTAGAAATGTTAATTTTAAACACTGTTTATACATACAGTTTAGATCTATACATGCAGGCTGCTTACTAACCTATTCGAATTGCTTTTAGGTCATTGATGAGTGTCATTCAAATCCAAATAGTACACTATCGTACACCCCTGTTTCAACTATTGCGCATGGTCATCATGATATCATGTCCGGTATTTTTATCCGTTGTATAAGTGGTGGATTTTCGGTAAATCTCTGTCTCTCTGCTTTGATTTTCTCTCAATTATACATCTTGAAAATATGATATTGTTAAAATCATATATTTAAAAATTTACCGGTCCTTGATCTTTTTTAAAAAAATATTTTTTTGCAGATGATTGCTCAGACCTGCACAACGACACCTAGCGTTCTAAATATTACCCATGGTTCTCTGTACCATTTGCCGGATTTTCGTTTTGTTCTTTCATGACATATGTTCCTGTGAACGAGTAGCCTAATTCAGGCTTATGCAATCATATTGTTTTTATTTCTATATTGATTTCTCTATAAGCAGTGTATACTTGTCAAATGTCCTACAATATAACATATGTTTCAAACTTGAAAGATTTTTTAAAAAGATATTCAGTATCAACTTTACCAAAATTCTTTTATCATAGCCAAGTATAGAAATTAAGTAAAGAATTATGCACACTTTAATTACATCTGTAAAATTCATGTTTACGAGCCAAAAATTAAAAACGTAATGACAAAATTATAAAAATTTTAATATTTTTAGAAATTTTCTATTTTTTCAACCTATATAGAATGTTAGACCTACATGTTTATCTTTCTTTCATACAAATATGCCTCTAACCACATGTAGTTTTACCTTACATTATACAGTGGAATCTTGCGAAGCCGGTTCTTTCATTCCCAGTCAAAATCATTCGGATAAGAGAACGGTCAGGATTTCTGAATGTAGCCTTGATTTCAGTAACATGTATATGCCCCCTCATATCAATAGCAAATAATGTTACTTCCGTTTCAAACAAGTGTCTTTCACTAATTAACAATTTTCAATCGCCCCATGTACTCAGTTGCGATTGAAAATTTTTAATTAGTGAAAGACACAAGGACTAAGTAGCACACAAACGCACACACCCTAGCGCATTACTATATCCTTTCCAACTCAGTTGCTATGTGATAATAAAAAAAAATGTTGCCTATTGCGTATTATTGTTTTATTTTGTGTTGATAGTTTACTAGAATTGAAGGTTAAAAACTATTCCGGACGAAGGCATCAAAGTGTTACATAAAAAGTGTATATTTCGTTCAATTCACAATGTTTCGACTGGAATTCTTTAATATTTTTTTCCTTTTTAAGAGAATTTTAAAAAAATAAAACAAAATAAATGTGTTATGTTTCAGTTGTGTTGAATCTAGAAATACTCTTTGGTTTATTTCGGATAAGTTACTTTACATTTGGTCTTAAAACACAGTCATGACACCTACAAATATTCCTTCTATGGAGAGCAGAGTGCTTGCTCAAAGTTCATTCCAAAGTTGTAATTTTGAGACAGTCTCAATCTCACCTGCACAATATTTTCCATTCGTTAAAATTATATATTCTGTATCGCTCTTGAAACTTTTAATGATCCATAATGCCTTGCCCTCCTGTTCTCAAGTGACTTTATTTTTCTGCAATGACACAAACCATTATTCTTTAAATTGTGTATTTTCGATGTGCCCACAAATTCCGGTTGCAGAATGCATTTAATGATTATCTACCTTTACATGTGTACTATTGAAATACAATTTAATACCACGTGCCATGTTCCCAGTGACTTAGCATTCAATGGTCTTGTTTCATAGACCGTGTTTCTAATCCAGTTTGCAAATACATGTACATGTACATTGCAATGTGTAATTAGAATTCAAGAGATGTTTTCTATACCAAAAAACTAATATTTTGGACAGATGCGTGTTTTTAAAGAGAAAGAATGTATAAGTAATCCTTAAAAAATTCTTGTAAACAACCTGGCATAGCTGCATATTTGACTGACATTTTTAAATGCCCGAAATCGATCTGTTATTGGAATGGCGTTCATGGCAATGTTATCATATCAAATAAACAAGAAATAAAACACGTTCGTTAACTTGTTCAAAATGGACTACTAACATTTAGGGCTCTCTTTAAAATTTTTATCCTTTTTAAGAGTGATAAACTTAGTAAATGCAATATCAAGATCCACGAATTCCAGGATGTGTTCCATTAAAACTTACGTCAAACTGGTAAGTGTTATTCATATTTATGTTTATACCGGAAATGGTGAAAAAATTTCTTAAATTATTAGATTATTTGTTTTAAGATTGAAATCAGAAATTAAGGTGTCAAACATATCAAAGTCTTGAACGGTTACAAGTATATTTCACAAAATGAATAATCAAGCTTAATTTATTTTCGATTTCTTGTACAAACATGTAGATTGATAGAAACTTACAGGTGCCATTAGGAATAAATATATGAGTCTGGCCAAGGAATAATAGTGGATGATATCTATACTCCTTCTGAAATGAAATAATTTTAATTTTATAAATATACACCATACAGTCATGTAAATTCTCATACAGATTAATGATATTTAAAGGATGAATAGCTTGCATATACACATTATTTTAATACTAACAATCACTGATGTATGTATTTATGAGACAAATCAATGCTATAAATTTAACAATAAATGAATGCTCCAAAGTATGATATATTAAATCATAATTTATCATTAAGTAAATATTTAGTTTAATTTTAATGACTTTAAACCATTATTACATGTTACATGACTTTATTAGATTAAAGAAATCATAATTATGCTGATTTGGTAACATTGTATTCGTTTTCAGCTATAAATGAAACAACTTTAGGGGAGAAAAAACATGTTTGCAGCAAAGGTACCCAAGAAGCCCTCTACTCCTTCTTCAGTCGCAGCAACTGAGAAGCAGGCACTGATAGATCGCATGATTGAAGACTCTAACAAATGCTTATCAGAGATTCGACAAGGCAGATCTATAGGCAAGACACTGGACAGTCCGGAGGTGTCTAATGCTATAAAGAATCTGTCAGATGGGATAGGGTGCATCATGGTTGTTGGTTTGAAACTGTCTGAGAAATTCCAGCTCGGAAATAAAATTTGTGCTCAGGTCTGTTGTGAGGGGAACCTGTTGGACGACATGATTGCTTTTTGTCCCCAAAACCGAAAAAAGCTTCCAAACATATCACAAGCTGAACTGAGTGTGTGGGAATTTTTCACGAACGGAACTATATTTTCCCCCGATGTTTGTAAGAAGTTGTCAGCTGCTAAAGACCTTCTTTTATACGCAAAGGATGTTTTAGATATTTTATATGATTCTTACACAACCTCAAAGATAAATGTGAGTACCTGCTGTGTTATGCCAATATTCTAGTGATCTGGTAGATTTTTTATTCCCCTGTCTAGAAGTATTAGTAATTTTGCCCAGTTCAATGATATGATTTATGCATTAAAGATATACACGTAAAATCGAAATTCAAAGTAAACACTCTCAGCACAAATTCGTACATCTTAAACATATATTTCAAGTAAAATGCATTAATTATTAATTCACAAATTATGGCAAAGAGAAATCATATAGTATATATTTTAGTGAAATAAAAAAAAATAATTGATTTGTTTTCCCTTTTTACCCTAGAATGCTCAAAGGACGGCAATAGATTACATCAGCGCTACAACTCATAACATGTGCACTTTCTGTGACGTCACAACCACCAGTGTCCGGGCAGCCGGTTTCCTTCCCGTCTATCTAAAATATCTGGAAAGTGACGTGGTAAAAAATGACCTCATAAAGAGTGTCCCCCTTTTAGCAGCAGCAAGTGACATTATGAACGAAAATGACGCAAGCATGGCGGGAAGTCGTGCTGACGTAGAGTTTATGATGTGTGGGATAGAGGAGTCCATTCAGTGTAAATCAGGGCAGTTCAATGGATGGTTCGCATTCGAGTTAGCAAAAAGTAGGTATGCCTTCAAAAATATACCACATATACATGTACATTATATAGGATTATTAATATTTTATCTTAAGTTTCAAACATCAGGAATTTATAATCATTTATTAATTAATGTTTTAATTCACAGTTATAGGAAATCTTGCAATATTTGATTCCAACAAAAAGATTTTAGTTGAGTACGGTGTATTACGTCCGCTCAACAAACTAGCGAAACAAACCGAGGAAATAGAGCAATTAAGTAAGTAAAGTATTTTATTACTTTAATGATATTCAACATATTCACATTCTTATATTTTTCCGTCTTCTATAGGATTTTAAAAACTCTTTGATTAAAAATTTTCCTATCCATTTCTCTGTTATTTGGCATAAATCGAATAAGGAATTTCGACAGTTCTGAAATCAAGAAATAGTCGTTAGAACACGTTCATCAATTAACGACTTTAATGTTTTCTGATTCACAGCCGCAACAAAAACACTGGCACATCTTGCATTCGATGATGACAACAAGCAAACTTTTATATCGGATGAAAAGACAGACATTGTGACCACTCTGTTTAATCTGGCCAAATCGTCCTCATTTCCCTCAGTCCGAGAATCAGCAAAAGGTGTTCTATGGACATTATCAGAACAACTTCATTCCTCAAAGAAATACGCAGAAATAGGTACATTTACAATCTACCAATAGTCAAGCATTCTTCACGCTTAAGAATTTTTAAAAAGTTATACTCACAGTCTAGCTGTCATATCATTTATAACAGCACTTATTATATAAAACTTATAATGATTCCTCAAACAATAACCATATGATCAGGGTTTGAAATATTAATTGAATAGACCATTTGTGTGAAATCTTTAGCTGGTGAATTCTTCCAGAAGAAATCTAAAGGTCACGTGATGATCAGTTATTCCAGAGAACAGCGCCCCCTATTGCTACGAATAAAAGATGAAATAAGGAAGGCAGGGTTTACTGTGTGGATGGACATTGAACAAATGCGAGACAATGTGTACGATAGAATGGCAGAAGCCATTCAGAACGCCTCTGTTGTTTTGATTTCTATGTCCTATAGCTACCAAAGAAGTGAATACTGCAGAAGAGGTAAATGAAATGCTTATCAGTATTTTATTGTTTCGCTCCAGTGGAATTATACATTTACATTGGTTTTAAGAACGTTGTCTTTTCCCAAAGAGCAGATGAAGAATGATGTAAAAAAAAAAAGAAGAAGCAAATGTATAATTATTATCTTTTATGCATGTTTCATTTTGGGTCTATTTTATCCAGAGGCTGCATATGCATCATCGTTAAAAAAGGCGCGAATCCCACTATTGGTGGACCCAGAATACGTAGCTGAGGGCTGGCTTGCTCTCATGACTGCCGGAGATTATCATTATGACTTCGTGAAAAAACCATTTGAAATGAAAATAGAGGAGTTAATTCGAGAACTTGGAAGAAAATGTTTAAAAGATCAAGAAGATAC